CTCATAGCAACACAACACACAACAATGTCCAACGACAGAAACACTGCCCAGTCCTGTGCCAGTCTGAAAATCACTGCTGTTTGAGCCCATTGTTGCAGCCACTGTGGCAATCATTATAATTGAGGGTCTTCCTCTTTTTTTTTAACCAACCCTCTGCTTTACCAAGAAAGCATCCTTCTCCAGGGATTGGTCCTTCCCGATAACATGCCCCAAGCATGTGAGACAAAACCTTGCCATCTTAGCTTCTGAAGCACATTCTGGCTGAATTTCTTCCAACCGAGGCTTGTCCTGGAGAATAGGTTTCCCACTATGGTTGGCCTACCTGTCATCGTCCTCGGTTCTCAAAGAAGCTTGCTATCTTAACAAAGCAGCACAAAGGGTAGTTGTGGATGTTCTGATGTTCTATTCTGAATCCATTAAGATCGCCCAAACAGTGGCAGTGGGAAATTTGAGAGCCTTACTTTTCCTGAATTGACTCAAATATCTTCTAGGTTATGTTACAATTATTACCTAAGTCACAAGGACCTCCTTTTTTCCTACCAGGTGGAAGTGTAGTTTTCCGCCCTTTTCTCCGTTTCGCCTTTTGGCCAGTGCAGAAGGCCCAAGCTGGAGTTGCACGTAGTTCTTTTAATAGCGGATGTAAAGTTTGCACCTAGTCTTGGGACTATCAACAACTTTTTCTGAGAGACTGCGTGTCTCTGTGACAAGATATTAAGAATATGACGCCTCCCCACCACTGCCCCCCAAGTCTATATCTCCACAGAGCATCTTCCTGGGACCTTGGGCTCAGTTTGTCATGGATACTCTTGGCATAAAGAATTAGGGACAAAACACAATTGGTACCAGAAAATTGTATTTTTACTCCTTCCGCAAATTAAATTCTAATTTTAAAAATGTGCTTCTTCCCTACTGTTCCAGATTTTTATGCAGTTTCTTTCCATAGATAACGGTTTACCCAAGAATGACAAAAGGTTTATACAGTGGTAATCTTCATTAGTTACTTAGTAAGCAACTTTTTAAGTCCTGATCTCAAAGTCGCAAGGAAAACTCTCGAAAGCTCTCTCTCTGAAGAACCTTATAATCTGGTTGGGAAATATAACTAACATGATTACCTTCCAGAGTCAACAAACAATACAGGAAAATATTACACATCAAACTTAATAGCAGAGACTAGTATGATAGGAGTTTTTATTAAAGTCTGTTGTGTAAATTTTTGTCCGCTCAAAAAAATATTTAGTAACATAAGAAAAGGCACATTTTTGAAATTGCTTTGTGAAACTTGAGTACTTTCTTTCACTCACTAACATGAAAGTAGACTACCGAAGATTGCTCATAAGAAAGACTACTAGACACGAGCTGTGCTTCCACCTGGGATATTTGCATGAAACATTGACTACTTTATCCAGATCTGACCTTCAGAAGAAAAAGCAAGTGTAAAAGTAGATTGTCAGTCATCTAGTAAAAAAACATAATTAAGAGCCCAGTTATTATGAAGTGATTATTCCAGTTCAAAATTCAGAGCGTAAGAATTCCCATACATCAGTTCAATGCTTTTGTGTCAGGTGCTGGCCAAATGCAAAACTAAGCCAGTGGGCTATGTTTAGGTTTTCATTCATAAGGGAAAAAAAAAGGCAATGTAAATGCAGCCAAATGAGGCCTTCCTCTCAACGACATTACCTTATATCTAAACACATTTTAGTGCACCCATATTTATTTCATAGTGAGCACATTTCCCATATTGATATTTTGGTATGATTCAATTTTCAAAACCACAAAAGGTCTTCAAAAAGTTCGTGGGAAAAAAGAGTTAAAAAATAATAAATATTTTCTAAGAACTTTTTAAAGCCTCCTAGTTCACCCATCTCCTTAGCTCCAAAGGACAGGACAGCTTCGCTTTGATCTGCCTTAGATTTCCACTCAAAATCATACCAGCCAGTTGTCTGATTAATTTAACTTTCTAGACCAGGGGCCCCATCAAAGAACTTTGATACGGGACAACTACTCAGAATGATTTTATGGTGTAAGTAGAACAGGCATGAAATAGCACAGTGGGGAGTCCTACCTTTTCCAATGACCTTTTTCCCTGCTGTTTTGGGAAGTCCCAGCATGGCACAAATACGTCTTCACATTATTTAAATTCCAACCGACTATTCGTTTATAGCAAACACAAAAGACCTCATGATAGATAAGATCTTTTTAGAATTTAAGAATGTTTTCTTGATTAATTTCATATTCATTTTTACAACTACCATTTACTTGTGGAAAGCAAATACTTTCCCCCTTATAGCCTGATATAAACTTCCCCTTAAAAATTAAAGCTGAAAAGTGAGGTGAAAACATTAGGACAATAGTAGTACAGCCAGTACTCAATAAAAACACACTTAAAAAAAAAAATAAAAATAAAATAAAAACACACTTGTGCGATAATAATCACACTGACTAAAGTTGGGGAAACAGAAGTAAAATAATAAGTCTGTTAAAAATATTTGGTTTATTCATTGACTCCATGTTATGTCATACTAATATGTTTTCATCTGGACATTCTTAAATTTTCATCTCTCGTGGTAAAGAATGGCAGTTTATCCTTTAATCCAAAGAGTGTGAATCATATAAATAATTTATCAAATTTAGTTAGTATGAAAAGATAAAACAAGGAACATATAATAAGCTTTTAAAAATTGTCCTGGCTATTTGTTGAGAGATGTCATTAAATACTACTATATCACCATGAGTGAATCTGAAAACCAATTACCACATAGGGAAGACTGCATGATACAATATACTTGATACTCCACAATAACAATCCTTACCCTTTGTTCTTAGACCAAATCGTAAATGATACTCATCGACTATAGGGTCGCCTGAGGACGACACATCCAGATTGTGACATACCCCAATTGGGACAGTCTTCCTTCCCTCCCTACTGATTCTTTTCAGAACATTTAGGCAATGCAGTAGCTACTGCTCATCCTACTGGTTTCTAGCCTGTTCCTTTCCTTCTAAGAAAACAAAACCAAGTGCTAAGTAAACGTAAGTACACTAATACAATCTGCTTATTACAAAAATAATAAACCATTCACAAATATCAGTGTTTTGCCTACTTGTTAGTAATACAGTTGCTGGAACCCCCGTATCTCCTGACACGTTGGTCCTAGCTTGCTGCCCTACTGTTAGCACCGATACTGCCTTTTTATACCTTGTTAGGCTAGAAATACAGAGGTCATAACTGGAACAGAGCACAATTTGCAGATGCGATGACCTAAGTAAACCAGGACCTTACTAGTTGGTTGTGGCTGGATGAAGTAATGAAAGGTCCAAATTTACATGCAAAACTTTAAAAAATGAGATTTTTACAGTGCTCAGAAAAACAATTTTGTAATAACATGGAGAAAAACAAAGATCTAATATTTTCACTCAAAAGTACAATAACCCATAATAAAAATGGCTTCAAATGTTCTGCAACATTAGAACTGGATTACCCTTTTAATGGGTAAACTTTACCAATCATGGTCAACATATAAAATGACATAGCATCTTCTATTTTTTTTAGTATATTCTATTTTAAATTTAAACTCTATATTTACAAATGGGTAAATTTTTTAAGTTAGATGGTGCAGAAAAGTGTTGAACAAAGGAATATATTACGTATAAACTGTGCTATAATGGAATTAGTTTGCTTAAAGTTTCAGATACCTGATTAGTTTAACTGACACAAAATCAAGTCTTAAATTGGATGAACTCAGCATGCCCTTAGGAACAGCTAATCACTATTCTGAAATGACAACAGAACTATGAATTGCTTAATATGTACCATACTTTTACATAAATAATGCATGCATTATACATTGTTTTCAAACTGCCAACTCCCTCATGCATTAGTTTCCTATGTGTACAATACACATTATATGCATGTGCACATCATTTACATATATATGTAACATGTAAAAAATACACAGTATATGTTTTACTCTTCCTGTCACAAAAAGCCAATCAAGTTAAAAAGTCACTTTAACTTCATAATTATATTATGAACTTACCTTCTATTAAAAAAATGAGAATAACACGGTCAACATGATAGGTTTAAACATCATAAGTAACAAAGCCATCTTATTCTGCATCTATGTCAATGGTGCAAGTATCTCCAAACTATCAAATTGTCTAAAGCAAACTTGACAAATTGACTAGTAGTTTAGCAATTCAATTCACAGAGCCTATGTTCTCCATATGTGTTATCTCTGCAAAAAGTATGTGAGTTAAGAAAGCCAAAGTGAAAATAACGCTAACCAATAATTCTAAATTAAACAAAACAGAATAGAGCTTTATGCCCAAAGGGCATTCGCACATCCTTTAAGATATTCACACATAAATTATGAACATAATCATGAATTATATTTTCTGAAATGTTCAAGGTTATCTAATAATTTCACTATTATTTTTGGATTTGGGTCCTCAACAAAAATTAGAAATGGATTCTATTCTTCCCAAACCATTATGATAAAATTTTATGTCATACACATCTATAGTTTTTAAATTATTAGAGAAACAATGTGGTATAAGATCAGTTCAATTGAAATACACACATGGAAATAACTAAAAAGAATTACTGTATTAGATTTAAGGAGGTAGAAGAATAGATATGCTTCAGTCTCTTGTATTATACAAGACTGTAGAGAGTATAGAAATATGTGTGTGAAATAGTTACTATTATTTTGTTAGTTTTGTTAGCACATATGCACTTTAAGCATCAATAGTTCAAGTGGTTAACAATCCCACTGGGGTGGAAATGCAAATTTTTGAAAAACAGTCTGATCTTTCAATCAATAAGTGAACACAGAGCATCTTGAAACCATCGAATTGCCAAACTTACGTTGGTGGATAGAATCCTCCTGCGGTTTGTATTAAAATTACCTCTCAAGCATCATTCAGACATATCAGGCCCAACTATCATTCTGTGTTCTCCCATTGCATTCTTGACATTACTGTGCTCTAGTAAGTACTACCATGATCTTTGAGATTGCGAAGAATCACAGCGGGAAGGCTATGGGACTGCCACCCTGTCACTAACTCGGTGTCTAGCTCCTTAACGTGGGCCCTGAGCATGAGGGGTGGCACTTTCAGAAGCAGGTCAAAAGGCAGCAAAGCTGAAGAAATAAAAGGGGGGAAAGATATGAAACTGTAACATAAATTACAAGGAACATCAATGAGTATGATTTTACTACTGCCAACAATAGGTTACCTGGCCTTGGTCTTGATCCAATTCCACCAGTGAAGTCCCTGAAAGCAGAAAGAGAGGCCATTAGTGTCTGGTTAATAAAACTCTGATTGCGCACTCACTGGGGGCCTGCACTCTGCTGTGGTCTACATTGTAAAACTAAAGCTCCTGAGACGTCAATGGAAAAGGAACTAAACCCATGGCAACTCAAAGTAGAACTGACATTCCACCAGAAAGTGGAAGAAACATGTCCCATCCCAGTGCTTGGAATGCTCTAAGAATGACTGAAAAGTCTAGCTCTCAGAGCCTCACCTGCTTTTCTTACATTTAAAATCAAAATGCCACTTTGAAGAGCTGATACCAAGGGCTCAAGTAGAAAGAAAATGTTTTGAGAATGATGAGGGCAACAAATGTGCAAATGTGCTTGGCACAATGGATGGATAGATGGATTGTGATGAGTCATATAAGCCCCCCAATAAAATTATTTTTTTAAAACAACAAATAACACCTTCCACTTAAAAATGTATTTATTGAGTTCAAGATATCCAAAATATATCATTTCAGCATGAAATCGATATGAATATTATGAAGAAGGTATTTTACATTCTTTTTTCTTACTGCCCTAGTTCATCTAGGGCTCCTACCGGTGGTTTAACAAGTGTGACTGCATCTTCTCATAGTTTAGGAAGCTAGAACTCCAAATTCAGCACACGTTCTCCATTGGCTCTGGAGGAAGGGCCTCTCTCTGAGTCGGAATCAATTTAATAGCAGTGAGTTTGATATTGGTTTCCCCATCTTGGCTTTCCTCTCTTGCTTATTTAATCTTTTTTTTTAATCTCAAGAGAGTGGCTTAAAACACGCAAGATTCATACATAGTTATACTAATCCTGTCTCATTAAAATAAAGATTATTCACCACACAGTTTTGGTGGGACACAATTCAATATGTAACACATACTGATATTCTAACTCATAACGACAAAGTGGATTTTTTTTAAATCCATTGTGGAGTTTACACTTACAGCATATCTCAATTTGCCCTAGCCCCATTGGGAATGCTCAATATGGTTAATGACTACCGTATTAGGTGGTACAAGTTTATGGGATAAAGATTTCTATACTAATCCCTATACCACCAAGGGTTGCTGGCTAAAATGAAAGCCTAGAGCCTGGAGTCTGGGCGTACAGGGGAGGAAGCAATTCATCTACTTTGGGAATTGTTTCCAAAGGCTTCATGGAGGAGGGGTCTTAGAGTGATGACTGGATTGGCCCCAGACAGCAAGGACATGCATCCTTTGCGAAGGGAGGAGCCCCCATCTGCGGGCTGGTGAAAAAAGAAAGGCTCTCTTCCTTGCGCTGGTTCAGCCTTGGCACGCTTCAGGTTGGCGTGAGTTCTGCAATGCGACTTGAATTCTAAGATGGCCCTCCATTTTTAATACTAATGTTTGCTCAGGGTTTACAATTACATCTAGGAACTCATTTAGAGACGGATACTTTTTAACTCAAGTGGGTACCAGAATCCCCTGGAAGGCTACCTCCCCCCTTCCCCCACCTCCTCTGATGTTTAATTTTTTTTTAAGTTTCAAACACATTATTTTCCCAGACTTTGTTCCTGCCATCTTTAATAAAAATATTAACTCTTTCTATGAAATGAAAAGACTTTTACATTTCAAAGGATTTTAATTTTTGTCTAAAGTTTCCAGTGTTGCTAAGAATTCCTGCTTTTCCTGCCCTAAAATTCTAAACTGTCTGATCATTTTGCAAATTCGTTTTAGCACCTTCCAATCTGAGACCACACCAGGAACACACTGAAATAACCTTTGACTTTGTTTCTTCCACTGAAACCTAGCATCAATTATTTAAATCATGTTCTAGGATGGAGTAGCAAATGCCTGTGTGTGGCAGTCTGATTTGGTAAAGATTTACAGCCCTGGAAACCCTGTGGAGCTGATGTCCTCTGCTCTATATTCTGTTTTGAGTTGGGATCCACTGGATGGCAGTGGGTTTTTGTTTTTCTATTTGTAAGCACCATGCTGAGCACTGAAGATGAGAGGGGAAAACAGACAAGACCACTACACTCTTCAAACGTTCAAGATCACGTGGTTCCTATTTTGAAGCACTCCTGAAGTTTATTGAAAAGGAATTTAAAGATACAGCAAACATATTGTTGTTTTCTCTCGAAGTTGTATCTCTAATCACAAGGAAATATTGTTATCTGAAATTTCAAAATAAAGCAGACTCATGGTGACTATGCATGGTACCTTTTAAGTATACAGTTGCTGGCTCACGAGTAGACAAAAGATTTTGATTATGCAGAGCTTGGAGGAGGTCTGTCTTGAGATTAAATCATTCTGAATGTTTGTGCCGTAGCAGAACATTTTATCTGCAGAATGTGGTTTTTCCCATAATTGAACAAGCAGGAAAATACAAAGAAATAGTCTAATACAAAAGAAAACATTCCTCCAAATTAAAGAGTTGGCATATTGAAGTTTGTGTGCTCTAAAAGTTATGAAATGGCCATTGACCAATAACTTCCAGCTGATGCAAACAGAATTTCAAAGAAATAAAAGGTTGAAAGGATTCTGAAAGGTTATTTACTTCCAACTCTCTTCAGATCTGGTTTGATCTCATCCAGAATTCATAAGTCAAAATAGAAACTGAAGTGCTGACAAATGAGTGTTAGCCTACAAATTTCTGCCCAAACCACTAATAAGTACAGTGGAAAATAAAGATAATTAGCTTTGAAAGAGTTTTAAAAATATATCTCAGAACCAAGGAAATGTTTTCAAGTGCATTGGAAATGTATCACACAATTTAATTCAATTGTGGAAAGTTGGCCAGTACAATCTGATGTTGATTCAAACAAGGCATAGTTAACCTTATGAAATAAACTTGGCTTGCAACCTTGCCCTAATGCCTTCTGATGGTACTGCAACCACACTATCTCAGTTAGCTAGACTGTTCTAGCACAAAGCCTCTCTAAGGAACTGGCATTACTCATAATCATGTATGAACAAGTCACGTTATGTGCAAGTGTGCTTTCATAATTTAGCAAAGGTCTTTGTCTATAATAATTAGTAATCCCTGCAGGAAAGCAAGCACTCCTACTCCTATTGCCCCCTTCATGCCCTCAGTGACAGCTAGAAACCACCGGGCAGTAATCCAGAGCAGTGTCTGACTATCCCAGAGAAGGAATGAAGCAGGCACTGACTTTGTACATGTATACTTAACGTATTTGTTGTATGACTGCTGTATTGGGACACTGGTAAACAGGCCAAACAGATTCTTGCAAGTCGTGATCAAACAGTGATAGTTCAAGTTAAGAAAAAGATGAAGGCACAGACTATTCAAAAGGACTTTTGGAGAAGAACTACAAATAAGAATCGGTAAAAACTGCAAAAAGGAGGCAGGTTCTATGCTCACACAAGGGTCATTCTGTTCAAATCTGTGATGGTCGTTGGTTACAAACATACACAGTCATCTTTATTTGCAAAGATGAGAGTCAGAAACACTGTCATATACAATTATGCAAATACCAATTTATCAAAGAAGTTGTGAACCACAGGTGTCACTCACTGATACCACGAACATCAGCCTTCTGAGGACACGCTGTTACCTTGGCAACAGGATGCAAGCAGGCATAGAGAAATCCTGTTGCTTAGGCAACAGGACCTTAAAAAATAAAAAATAAAATGGGGCCTTTAGCTGTGACTATCACTAAAGCTAGAGGTTCAAGCCAGTAGGTGAGACAACAGCCCTATTACTGAGAAAGGTATAGAATTTATGCAAAGATTATCCATGCATTAGTTAACAAGTATATGTGGGCTGGCTCCTACGTGCAATGCACTATGCCCAGAGTACTGCAAATATAGATCAAACATAGTCGGACACAAGTTTAGCATACAGTAAGACATAATCAAAGCTCACTAGGACCTACGAGTTTGTGATACAGAGGTTGGACCCTTTAACAGGGAAGTGCACCATCATATTCCAATACAAAGGACAGTTTATTTGTAGGTTGAAACAAGATGCTATGGTTCACTGGATGAAAACAGTCAATACTGGGGTTTCAAAGAATTCATGAAAAATAGAATATACATACTAATTATACTACATGAGCCAATAAAACCCAGGTATGCATTGGTTAAAGCCAAGCCCATTCTTAATTCTTTCCCAGCAAATAGTAGTGGAGGCAGGAGACTTTAGATGAAGTTTTAAAATGATAAAATTTAGGAAATTCAAATAATGCCCTAACTATTAAATTTTTAATTGCCTGTTCTTGATACAGACAACCCAGCTTTGGGCTAACACTGTCAATACATACAGACCATAAGACAAAGGGTACCCATTCACTTGAGAAGTCTGCAACAGGGTATTTATTTCATGCGGTTATTTCAAAGTAGATAATATTTTGGGGTTCATGAGAATTGGCCATGAAGAGTTCATGCCATTGCCCCTCTTACTCATTATGGTTCCCAAGGTGCACAAACCAACATGTCATAAAATAGGATTTCCACAAACACTACCATACACTTCAACCCCTCTCAGGATACACATGGAGGTAAAAATTCTCTGAGAACCATCATCTGCTAAACAGTTTGGCAGTTTCTTAAAAGGCTAAGCAGAAACTTACCATGTGATTCAGTCTAAGCATTTAATCAAGAGGAAACATCAACAAATCATATGTGTCTATATAAAAATGTGCACACAAATAGTCATATCAGCTTTAGCTGTAATGGCCAATTACTGGAAATCAAATAACTACAAACAGGTGAACGGATAAACAAATTGTGGTATATCCATACAGTGCAATACTACTCCACCATTAAAATGAAAATACACTATTAATACACAAAATAACATGAATGGATCTCAAAATAATGATGTTAACTGAATGAAGTCAAATAAGAGTATATATCATATAATCCTGTGTTTTATATAATTCTATAGACTGCAAACCAATCTATAATGCAAAATATATATCTATCATTGTCTGGTGGGCCAGGGTCGCAGCAGTGAGGGGGCAGAGAGAGGTTTGGGGTGAATCTGTTCACTATAATGAC